TCCTTCCTTACCTTAGACGAAATAGAGTGAATACATCGCATATGAAAGGAATATACTTTGTATTCATGCAATATGTTCTTGTGTTGCTTCTCTTGTATGTTAATCATGCAAGAGTGCCAGAGGTTCTCATAAAGCTCCATTCGATACCGAAATTTCTACTTGATCCCTCTGACCAAGATTGCTTGAAAATACAGAAAGCACACACGCAAATATTAGCATAGAGTGTAGATCCAACGCTTTTCCTGTGATTGTGATGACTAGCTTGGTTTCAACGAATCTCTTGAGACGACTTTGTTATGGAGACCTTCAGGTCGTGTCTAAGTGTCTGATGAAGTGATTTTTTGGTTGATATCACAAACACGCGACGGCCGATTCCCGTTTTTCTGCAGCACCTACACACAAACACTGAGGCACATCAAGAAAAGTATCCCAACTAATATGAGAAATAACTAACCAAATATTTTCGTTTTTACTTTTGAGGCTATATAACATCCAGAATGGAGCCGGACAGTCTTTGTGACTTTTACAAGAATAAGTTCGAGCTGGCAGGATTTTGACCATCGGAGGAATCAAAGCTGAACCCGTTTTATTTGGAAACGAGGAAGGATGTTTCGTAGACTTCGTCAAGCTGCTGGAATCAGCATTCGTCTTCTAGTGGGATCGAGCCGCAAATCTCTTCATTATGCACTTTCACACGAATGAATGTATCCATAAGAACGACGTTTCTTTATGCGAAGAAGAGTTGGGTTTCAAGGAATCTCTTGCTTCATAATTGTTGAGCTTACTTTCATTATCCAATAACTAACTAACAGTTTGGGCGTCAATCTTACCTCTTCCATGAAGTGATCCTCTATTCTTGACATGTAATTATTTGCCAAAATGGGAGCCAAGCAAGATCCCATTGCTAAGCCTTGCACCTGTTTATACAACATATCATTCAAGGTAAAGTATGTGCTGCTCATGAATAGATTAATAATTTTTCGTATGTAAGTAGAGTTTCGAGACTATCAGTAGTAAGTCAGTAATATAAGATTTATTCACCTTATTTCGTTTAAAGTGATGAAGGAATGGTATTATAATTTTCCCACAATGATATGAGTTGAGCTGACGTTTCCATTCCGTTTTACAAAGCCTTGCTTTCCCAAAAGTTCTTCTCATCCAGGCACCAGTGGACTGCAGTTTCGACTTTTGAGAAAACAAGGCTATGTGAAATTCAATGGAAACGTCAGCTCAAATCATATAATTGTGGGAAAATTCTTCTTCTACCAGTCATTCATCACCATAATCGAACTTAAGTGAATACATCTCATAGATTAAGAAGCCTTAAGATTGAGCTTTTGCTAAGATTTGCTTGCCTAATAATTCTTGGATGATCATCTAGACTGACTGTCATTGCTTCAACAGCCTTCTGAACTGGGATTTTAGTA